TTGGTGGGAAGAGAGCTGTACAAACTCAACATCTTGGTTTCATTCCAACTGTTTTACCCAGACAGATGATCAAACAAGCCATGGCCTACCTGTATTGATTTTCAAGCTGGCTTCCTTGCTCATGTTTCCCAATTGAACAATGATATGATACTTCCCACCAGGCTCCAACTTCTTGATGGTGTATTCCACAGTGCTGTTGCGGGTTTTCACCTTGTATGTTCGGTCTGTCTTCCTTACTAAATCCTTAACGGCTACAGCATATAACTGAGAGACAAAAGAATTATACACACTGAACATCGAGAATGCCTCCCTTACTAAATATTAGAAATACCAAACACCAGATGAAGCTGTTCTATGTGGGTGAAAAGTTGCATCAGGTGAGTTCTTGGCAGAGTTTGTGACAGTTACATCAGGTTCAAATCTCCACCTGGACATGGAAACCCATTGGGTAGCCTTGCTAAAGGTATTCTTTCTCCGCCTCAGAAGAGGGCAAATATACCACCCACACAACACATGTTGCCAAGAAAACACCAAGATAGGATTGCCTTAAGGTCATGATAAGTTCAAAAACTAACCATGCAGCTACCTTACCATATCTTGGTCGGGCGAATCGTATGGTGACTCCCACTTAATGACAGCAAATGTTTTTGCCAGGTGCACCGCATGTAGATGCCGTGGGGGCAGGCGGTTGTCAGGAATCATCTTCACCACGATGTAGTCCGAAGGTGGTCCTTGGTACGGAGAAACCACACGGACCTTAAGGAGGCCAGTAGCAATTAGTTATTTATACATTATAGTATCTCTCCATCTCAGAGTTGGGAATTTTGAGTCCTGCTGAACATGTACAAACCATAAGGGCAGTGCAATGTCAGGTCTTCCCAAACACATCCAAGTTTCTGCATCCCTCAAAAACTTTGGTAGATCTCAAAACCACTTTAAAATGTTACAATATGCTGTTTTGAGGTTCATCTTGAAACAAGATTTCCAACCCATAGTCAAAAAAGGAAACCAGGAATGATGTGATGATGTGACTACTAAAATGGCAGATACAACAGTCCTTCAGAGGAGCAAAAAGGTTGATGCAACCCTTCAGAATCCAGTGTTCACCTTTCCTTGTTCTGTCTTAATAGACAAGGACACAACTCATTGAATCAACACAGTCATTTGACTGATCTTTATGCTAAACATGGAGCAGAAGCCGCACTGATGCAATAGCAGAAACCTTTCTCGCTTTTCCGAAGGTCAGAGATGGGAGACCAAAGATGGTAGAATCCTTAAACCATCTCAAGATGCCTCCAAAAGTTAACCCTGAGCTCAGAGTTGAGCCATGAGTCTGAACTGGGCAAGAGTGCCCCTAATTCCACTTGGAAAGGGACTAGATTAAGGGAAAATATCTTACCAGAAA